ATGATCATCTCATTAGATGCTGTAAAAGCCTGTGACAAAATCCAACATCCCTTCATGATAAAGGTCTTGGAGAGATCTGGGATAACAGGAATAATACTGAAACATAATAAAAGCTATATACAGTAAACAAACAGCCAACATCAAACTAAATGGACAGAAACTCAACGCAATTGCTCTAAAATCAGGAACAAAACAAGGCTGTCCGCTCTCTCCATATCTTTTCAACATTGTACTTGAAGTTCTAGCCAGAGCCATACTAAAACAAAAAGGGATACAAATAGGAAAGGAAAAGGTCAAACTTTCATTGTTTGCAGATGATATGATAGTTTACATAAGTGACCCAAAGAACTCTACCAGGGAACTCTTACAGCTGATTAACACCTTCAGCAAAGTGACAGGTTACAAGGTCAATTCAAGAAAATCAGTAGCCCTACTATATACAGATGATAAAAGGGCTGAGAAAGAAATCAGAGAAACAGCACCCTTAACAATTGCCACAAACAACATTAAATACCTTGGGGTAACGCTAACCAAACAAATGAAACACCTGTATCGCAAGAACTTGAATCTTTAAGGAAAGAAATTAAAGAAACCCTAGGAAATGGAAAGATCTCTCATGCACTTGGATAGGTAGGATCAATGTAGTAAAAATGGCAATCCTGCCAAAACCGATCTACAGATTCAATGCAATTCCCATTAAAATCCCAGCACAATTCTTCACAGACCTTGAAAGAACAATAATCAATTTTTTATGGAAAAACAAAAGACCCAGGATAGCCAAAACAACCCTGTTCAACAAGGCAACATCTGGAGGCATCAACATCCCTGACTTCAAACTCTATTATAGAGCTATAGTCCTGAAAACAGCTTGGTATTGACACAAAAACAGACAGACCAATGTAATCCAATTGAAAACCCTGATATTAACCCACACACGTATGAACATCTGATCTTTGACAAAGAAGCTAAAAATATGAAATGGAATAAAGAAAGCATCTTCAACAAATGGTGCTGGCATAACTGGAGTCTTGCATGTAGAAGACTGCGGATCGATCCATGTTTATCTCCATGCACAAAACTTAAATCCAAATGGATCAAAGACGTCAACATAAATCCAGCCACACTGAACCTCTTAGAAGAGAAAGTGGGTGGTACCCTTGAACAAACTGGTTCCGGAGACAGCTTCCTGAACATAACACCAGTAGCACAGACAGTGAGATGAACAATTAAGAAATGGGACCTCCTGAAACTGAGAAGCTTCTGTAAGGCAAAGAACACAGTCAGCAAGGCAAATAGGCAGCCCACAGAATGGGAAAAAATATTCAATAACCCCATTTCTGACAGAGGGTTGATCTCAAAATTTTACCAAGAACTCAAGAAGCATGTCTCCAAAACACCAAAGAATCCAATTAAAAAGTGGACTGCAGAACTAAATAGAGAGTTTTCAATAGAGAAGTCTAAAATGGCTGAGAGGCACTTGAGAAAGTGATCAACATCCTTAGCCATCCAGGAAATGCAAATCAAAACAACTCTGAGATACCATCTCACTCCTGTCAGAATTGCTAAAATCAAAAACACCAATGACAATTTATGCTGGAGAGGATGTGGTGAAAGGGGGACACTCTTCCATTGCTGGTGGGAGTGCCAACTGGTTCAGCCACTTTGGAAATCTGTATGGAGATTCCTCAGAAAAAATGGGAATAAACCTACCACAAGACCCAGCAACTCCACTCTTAGGCATATATACATAAGATGCCCATTCATACAACAAGGATGTCTGTTCCACTATGTTCACAGCAGCATTATTTGTAATAGCCAGAACTTGGAAGCAACCTAGATGCCCCTCACCCGAAGAGTGGATAGAGAAAATGTGGTACCTCTACACAATGGAGTACTATTCAGCAGAAAAAAATAATGGAATCATGAGATTCGCAGGCAAATGGATGACACTAGAAGAAACCATCCTGAGTGAGGTAACACAGTCACAAAAAGAGAAACAGGGCATGTACTATCTCATATATGGATTTTAGACATAGATCTGTGGAGTTCCAGCCTACAATCCCATGGCCAAAGAATCTGGGAAACAGAAACTTCATTAGTGGCTGATGGACAAAGAGGCAGACTCCCACTGCTAAATACTGAGCTGAACTCAAGAAAGCCAGTAACGAAGAGGGAGGACTGATGACCAAAGGAGTTAAGACTGGGCTGGTTTAACCCCAAAAACAGCTGATCTGACAAGGGTTAACTCTTGAATCACAGGCTGATACCTGGGAATCCAACATGGGACTGATCAAGACCCCCTGAATGGGGGTGTTAGTGAGGAGGCCTAGGTAATCTATTGAGCCTTGGGCAGTAGATCAGTATTCATCCCTAGTATACACATGGACTTTGGACTGCCATCCAACAATGTGAGATGAACTCTCACCCTGAACTCTTGGGAGGAGTGTCTAGGCTCTGCCCTGGATGAAATGACAGTCTATGGACACCCCCATGGAGGGCCTCACCCTCACTGGGGAAATGAGGGGATGATGGTGGAGTTGGGGGGAGAGCACAGGAGGAGGGAAGGGAAAGGGAGAAGGACCTGGAACTGACTTGTCAACCAACCATGTTTCTAATCTAAATCTAAACTTAAAAATAAAAAAGTTTAATAATAATAATAAATAAAAAAGAAATAAATTAGCAGAATGCTCACAAAGAGCATATGATTATTACTGAATGGTTTTAGAGTGCGGTGTTTGGTCATATCTTTTTTGGTGATGTCTTATATGTGGTTATTCTTTTCATTCTTTAATTGGACTTGTGATCATTTTTCTTCTGTTGTTGTTTTATTGTATTAAATTCCTTATACATCATAACAACTACATTCTCACAAAAAAGTGACTCACAATTCATAATGGAGAATGTAATGGCTTACACAAAAGGAATATATTACATGAAACTGAGGAGAAGCAAAATATGCAGAGAGGTGAGAACCAAAACCTCACTGCTAAGACAACATGTTCCCCCACATTATGGAATGAAAGGACATTAAGGAGAAATCTTCAAAGTCCACACCAACATAGGGAAAGAGCCTCAATGTGATGGTGGGAGAGTTTGCCACACTAGCATTTAAGTATTTTCCTTTACCCAAAACAAATGTACTTGCTGGATATTTCCTCACAATTGATTCCCAATATTAAACATTGAATTTTCCTATAAAAAATCTGAAATACTCAAATTTATTTCCAAGACTTGGTAGCCAGGCAACGACTATGGCTGTCTCTCTTCTTCACTTATAGGTTGCATTCAAAGTCCTTCTCTAACTGAGGCGAGCATAAAAGAGCAAAATCCCAAAAACTGTGAGGATCAAGGCGGACATGGTCATTCGAATGATGTTCTCCACTGTGTGATCCTGGGGCTGTGAGTCTGCAGATTGTGAATAGAGATGTCAGGACCAACCAAAGTTACCCTACATAACAGCATTTACATTGTGAACAGATCCCTCCTCTGTATAGAACTCGACTTTCTGTGATAATGCCCCAAGCAGAATTTTCCTTCTTATCTGTTATGGTTTCTGACATGTTCTGTGGATGGCTCGTAGTCTCAGTTACTCCTGGGTAAAAAAGACATGTTGGGAGTGTAAAGTGCTCAAGAGAACTGACATTTTTCCTCCAGTTTAATCTTCTTATTTCCTTGAGATACACATTATTCTCATCACTTAGCATGATGAAGATCTGTAATAAACCGTTTCTCTGCTGTATCAGGCTTTCTGTGGTCTTTGTCTTGGTTTCTTCAGCATGCCTATGCTCTGAGTTAAGAACTTCTTGTGAGGGAACTTATTTGTAAAAGAGTTTATCTGAGAGCTCAGATGGAAAATTATGGTCTCCTATTTCACCAAAAAGGAGAATCCTATGCTCCCAAGTCAGTCTGGAGTACAGAAGCCTGGAATCTCATTCCCCCAGGATATTATCCTTTACTGACTACTCTGGGGAAAAACCAAGATATAGCCACGAATCTTGTTTTCGGAGGCTAATGAAGATACCGTGCCCAAAATAGTGACAGTCTGGGGTTCTCTGCCTGCATCAACTCAAGAAGTTCCCATGATGCTTCTGTTTAACATTGCACTCTCTAATCATCACATTGTTAGTAACAAACAATACAAATACAAAGACATAAAGATAGGCATACAATATACATAAATGCAGATATATTCTAATAAGTAGCTAACCTAAATCATCAAGGGTTATGATAATAATGGGCAAGTAAAAATTTATAACATGTCACATGTCAGGAGAGGCTATAGTTTCTAAAGGAGAAGCCAATACTTCCAAGTTTCTTAAACACTTTAATTTCTACCTGCATTAGAAATGCTTATGCTTATACCCACAATAAGTATGGCTCTAACCAATTATCAGATAAACTTCCTGTGTAAGAGGTGGGGAAAATCATAGAGATCTACAACTCTACAGAGGCCTACTGGTCTCTGAAGACACATGTTTGGTATTAGTAGAGTATCAAGAAATGTTTAGGTCCCATTCTGGTGGATGCCACAGAGATCTCCAAAACTGGACAAAGTAGGAATAAGTTGTATAATGTGTTCCACATGGATACATCTACAACACAAATTTTACACATAAGATATAAGGAAAGTCAGCCGGGCGTTGGTGGCGCACGCCTTTAATCCCAGCACTCGGGAGGCAGAGGCAGGCGGATCTCTGTGAGTTCGAGACCAGCCTGGACTACCAAGCGAGTTCCAGGACAGCCTCCAAAGCCACAAAGAAACCCTGTCTCGAAAAACCAAAAAAAAAGATATAAGGAAAGTCAAGAAAGTGAACCAGCAGGCTTTTGTACATTGCATATCCCAAACTGCACTGACTGTACCATGGTATTTCATCGACTCAGCCTTAGGAGTCAAAAACTCCCTGCAGATATCATGGCCTTGAAACCTCCTGGAGGCAACAGGGTGTATGACAAAGGGATTCTGGTATCAAACATATGAGTGAATGAGAAGACTTCCTCACCTGAGACACGGATCTCCAGAGGGTTACTGGCCTCTGACCAAACATAGGGTGTATCTGTATAGTATCCATAACATCTGAAGGGACCATTATGGCTGTATGTCACAGATATCTCAGGAAACAGAGCCTGGAAGTGTGCATTCTTTATGAACTGTGCCTTCTGGGACCTGGAGAACTTCACTTCTGTCCCAATCAAAACAAACCCATTGTATCCTTTGGATGAGAGACACTGAAGTGTCACATTCCCATCCGAGGTCACCACAGTGCTGGGTAAAGCTGAGAGAGTAGGTTTGCCATCATGGACACCTAGGAGATGAAGAGGCAGCCTTTTAAAAGAAACATTGGCTACATTGTCTGCAATAGGTAAGCTGTGGAAGCATGCTTTTGGGAGACTATTTCCTGAAGACAGAGGCAAAAACTGTGGCACGTAGTGTCCTCTCACCTGTCACCACCAGCTCCAGGGTGTCACTACGCTCTGTCCACCCAGCAGAACTGTAAGAGTAACAGTTATATCGCCCTGCGTTTAGGCTGGTCACAGACGGGATGGAGAATTTCGCCATATTGTTGTGGTCTACTTGGGTCTCTGTGTTGCTGGTATCTGGGCTTCCCTCTTTATGTATCGCATAGGTAAGGGCTTTTAGCACACCCTCACACCAGATGGTAACAGAACTCCCTGAAGAGATCACAGAACCTGGCTGAGCCCAAATGTTGGGTTTCTGAAGTTTCCCTGAAAAGATGCAGAAGAAAAATAAGAGCATCTCTTGGGACAGTGGCACATAAAAGGTCACATTTGCCAATGACACTTCAGCTGTAATAGAAGAACACATAAAGACCTGATTTCTCCCTTAACTCATTAGGGCCACTGTGATTATCCACCCAGAATTTTGTATCAAAAGTCTAGATTTATCACACATTTGGTGAAACTGGTGTCAAAAGAACTGCCTCTTGATCATCCACAGCACATCAGGTCCTTTCCTGGGATCCTGTGTCAGTAGTAATCACATTCAAATGAAACTCCTGTACTGCCTTACCTGAAACCAGGAGCTCTAGGTTGTTGCTGGGCACTGACCACAACTGGGGGGTGCTCATGTAATAGCCATAGCATGTGAACCTCCACCTCTGGCTGGGGTTCACAGGACCCACTGTGAACAGGGCTCCAAACAGGCCAAGGTATTCAGGGTGGATATTCTGTGAGGGCAAATGCCTGGAGAACTTCTCATCTTCCTTCATTAGAATGAACACATCATATGCCCATTCTGACACACACTTAAGGGTCACATTATCACCTGAGGTCACCACCATATGGGGCAGTGCTGACAGGGTGATGTTGGAGGAATGAACTCCTAAGGAAGAAGAAGAAGCATGTTATGTGGACTTACATGAGAATCATTGTTCCCATCTTCTCAGAATTTTAAAGTGGAGACTCCCCCCTTTGAACATATTCCTTTCCTTAAGAAAACTCTGGGATTGAAGGAGGGTTCTGTCACCTGTCACCACCAGCTCCAGATTGTCACTGCGTTCAGATGTGCCGGTGGAGCTTTTATATTCACACGTATATTGCCCTGCATTATTCCATTGAATCGATGAGACAGAGAATGTGGCCTTGTTCTCAGTTTTTAGAATGGTTGTTGGCATCAGGTAATCCTCACTTCCTTCTTTGTAGAGATAATATTCCTTGGCCTCTGATGGTCCTTCACAAAATAATGTCACCTGGCTTCCAGTGGCCACCACATTACTTGGCACTGCCCTGAGTGTAGGTTTAGACAGGGCCCCTGAAACAAATTGGCAGTTGGTTCCACAGATCTCCCCATCTGACATAAATTCTGAGACACAAGACCTCCCCCATAAAATGCCCCTCAGATACAAGCTCTCAGACCCAGGACCATTCAGGCATCCCCAGCATCTGGCCACACATGCTATCCTCCATCTTCCCTGTTCATGAGTTACCTGTGATCCCCATCAAGATTGTCCAATCTGGGGCAGCTGGGAAGACACTCACCTGCCAGCACTTGGATCCAGACGTCCACACTCAGTCCTGCAAGAGAATTACCTGTGAGTATTTGCACTGAAACATCAATAGATCATCCACTTCCTGGTGCCTTCTGGAGCTGAAGAGACATCCTGATGGCCAAAATCATGATTATGAGGATGATTCTCTCACACAAGAATTCCCCATCCCCATTTGGTATCTCACCAAGATACAGCAAGACTGCGAGAAAAGGAGTCATGGCATCTCCAGTTGCCATACGTTTTCAGATACTTGGTACCTTTCCAGACACACAGGCACAAGCTGTGTGGCCTCTGCAGGCTTGTTTCTGCTTCCTGTCATGACGATGTCATATTAGTAGTTGCTGAGAAAGAGGAACTGCTCTACCCAGGCTCCTGAATCTTCTTCCCTGTGCTGTGATGGGTTGGACTCCAGAATGTGGTGCTTCTGTCTCTCTGTGGTTCTTTAGTTTTTGTTTCTGTTTCTGAGACAGAACCTCTTAAACTTCATTCAAGTTTCAGACTCCTCCTTATTCTCCCTAAGTTTCCTGTGCTCTGGTATAACAAACCCAAGTCTGACTGTGATCTCTTCCTGTGGAATATCTCCACTGTAAACCTCTACATCTGCCTGAATACTCCCAATCACCACACACTGGGACTTAACCCAAAATAAACCTGGTGCCACTTCTACTCTTAAAAGGCGATGAAAAGGTTGGTCTTTCCCTCAAAGCATCATATATCCATAAATACTGGTTCAACTGCCAGATGGCACAGAGACTGCTCAAGCCTCCCAACTGACACACACATTCAGGGGGCCTGGTTCGGTCCTATGTTGCTTCCCCAGCTGTTAGACTAGGACCATTAGCTCCCACTTGCTCAGGTTAGCCGTCTCCATGGGCTTCCCCAGCATGGTCCCAACCTGCCCTGCTCATCACTCCTCCCTCTCTGAAACTGGATTCCAGGAGTAAGGCTCAGGGCCAAGTTGTGGGGCTCTGTTTCTGCATCCATGAGCCACTGGATGAAGGCTCTAGCATGGCATTCAAGGGAGACATCAGTCTCATTATAGGGAAGGACATTTAAGGTAGACTCACCACTCTTACTTAGAATCTTAGTGGATCTCTGGACATTTCCTGAGTGACAGATTTCTCTTTAAACATATAGTGGCTCCCTCTGTTAAGACATCTCTTTTCTTGCTCTCCTTTATTCTTCCCCTGATGCCATCTTCCTATCGCTCATGTTCTCCTCCCCCTCCTCTTTCTCCTACCTCTTTCCCCCTCCCTCCTGTGCTCCAAATTTGTTCAGAAGCTCTTGTCTCTTTCCCCTTCTCTGGGGGAAAATAAATGCCTCTCTTAGGTTCATCCTTGTTTCCTAGCTCCTCAGAGCTTCTTCTTGATGCTCCTTTATGCCTTCAGCCAGACCAAACTCATGGCCAGTTTTCTGTCCTGCTGGGAGATGCTTTGAGGATGTTGTGTGAACTTTACCTAGGGATACAAGAACAATGCCTACACATGCCACATGAGAAAACAGTGACAGAAACAAATATTCCACACAAATCAAGTTGTGGAAGAAATGAATTATAGGAGTGTTCCTAAGAATTGGGCTGTCAATATTGGGGAGTCTTAGTGATTTTGTTTGTTTGTTTGCTGAGACAGGCTCTCAGTATTTTCCGCTGAGTGTACAAGAACTTGCTATGTATAACAGACAAGATCCACCAGCCAGTCTCACACTCAACTGTTGAGAAGAGTGTGCTCCATTATTCTCAGTAATATTGGAAAATTCTCAGTGGTTATTTCTCTGAAAACAGTCTTTGCCTGCAACATTTAACTCTCTATAGTTCTGATTGAAGAGGAATAGGTTTAGGAGTATCTATACCATGGAAGAATACTAAAAGGGCCACTGTTATACAGGTCACCTCTGTGCAGCTACCAAAACATCAATGGGACAAGAGTCATTCCATGCCTGGAGAGCTGTCCTCCACAGCAAAAGAAGATGCAGGGGATGCTGCTGGGAAGATACAGACCAGAAGGGGCACACTGGACACATTGTCATTCAGTTCTCCTGGGTAAACACAGAGACTTGCAGGAAATTGGGGAAGTGTGGTATTCTCATGACTCTTGATCTGATTATATTCTGCCAACTAATCTGCAATATATTCATTGCCCTTCTCTTAACAATATACATGATTTCCATAGGAACAATAGGAACAGCCTATCAGCATTCTTTCTTCTTTCGTGTTTCTATTTCTGTCTCAGAATCCTTCTGGATTTGGTGAAGGCTCAATTTGATTTAATGCCTGTTCAATCACAGATGTCCAATCCAACTTAAATGTTGTTGGCATCTCACCTATGAGCCTCAGCACCATTCTGATTGAATAATATCAGCATCATTTTCTAATGTACGTGTCATTTTCATAGTACTTATGGGTTCAGGGGTGCTTGTGATTTGGACATTCAAGGAATGGTTACCTTTCAGAATGTTTTACAATGTAGATGGGATACAAGAGGGTTTTGGTCATATAAATATTATGGTTAAAGGGCCCCTCTCTGCTCTTATGTTTTGAAAATGATTAAACTATGAATGTCTTCAAAATCATGAATTGAAAAACAGAAGTGAAACCTTACCCAAACTGATAGTTCCTAAAATGCATACACTTCCATTTTCAAGAAAAGAGGATAACACAGTTAAGTCCCTGAACTTCTCCTTGTTTAGGACCATTGTATAGACACTTTGTCTTCTATGGTAGCTGAGGTATAGTCAGGGCTCCAAGAGTATTGGTAGGGGTGTATCTCTGTGCTCTATCTGTATATGGGTACTGCAATAGCTCATATTACTATCAGGTGTCCACAGTGACATTAAAATAGGTTAATTCCTAGTTTTATCCACAGATGTATTGTCTCTGGTGTAGGTATGTGTTGTGTGGGATATATGTACACTGTGTGAAAAGCTTTTGTATAATAATAAATAATAAAACCTTAATGGAAAAGGCATTAAGTAAAAGCAAGACATCTGGATAGAGAGAGAATTCTGGGAAGAAGAAAAGCAGAGTCATTATCCAGACACCAGGCATTGAAAGGAAGCTGGAGCTGCATGAAGAGAGAGGGGATTTGTAATGACAGATAGATAGTAGATAATATAATAAAGCATGTGGGGGGCCTTAGTAGATTCCATGGTAGGCAAGTTGGACTGCAGTGGGGGACAAATATGACAGGCAGACAGAGTTGAAGTGAGACGTTTTATTAGAAATGGAAAGGTGGAAGGAAAGAGAAATGAGGTAAAGTGACATAGAGACACAGAGACAGAGAAAGAACAGAAAAGAAGAGGGAGACAGTAAAGTCTAGTGTGGCTGAGAGGAACAGCAGGAAAGAGAGGCAGAAAGAGAGAAAGAGAGAATAACTGGGCAGAGGTCTTTCTTTTAACAGGGTCCTTTGCATCTGTGCTGACCAGGGAACTGCCTGAGTGCATTCTGCCAGGTGATGGGGGCAGGCCAGTATAATGACTGAATACTCACAGGAGATATAGGCAGAATTTCTGGAGAACAGAAGAGGAGAAGGAATCTAACCATAGAGGTTGTGCAAGCAAGATTATAGAGGACTCAGCACAAGTTGGAGATACATATTGAAAAAGAGGGTACTGACCCATGTGACATGACATCGATAAACAAAAATGGATAAATGTAGGCTAAAGGAACTAATTACAATGGCCCTAAGCTATATCCCAAGAATTCATAATTTTTTAAAAAGTGACTGGGTCATTATTTCAGAGCTGCCTGATGGGCCAGAGAAAGAATACATACATAAGGCATACAATGTGGGGACAAGTACTTTCATATAGAACCTGAAAACACTTTTTATAGTTCCAAACATGGAGCTAGATGTGGCTTTGTAGTTCAACAGTTTATTGGGTGGCCACTGTCTGCTGACTTGGCAATCTGGTGCCATGTGTGAAGCTGCATGGGTTTAAAGTTTGTGTGTTTTCAGAACAAAAATGCCAGACACCAATAAATATAAGTAGCCCAAGTGGTCCAGCATTTTAGAGTTGTAGTTTCCTAAAATTCAGCACCCAAAAGATTTCCAAGGTTCTAGTTGTGAGGGTCCAGGCAAACTTCAGATAAGCACTACAACTTCCCATCACAGACACTAGACAACGGTTAGCTCTCACAGACTTGCACATTGTATTTATTTTCTAAGAGTCCCCTAAAGATTCCATCACCCCCAGGAAACAGGAAACAGTCTAGAAAACATGTTGCCCATATTTCCAAGTGGTGGGTTGGGTGATTTTTGGTCATGTGGTTGTGTATATATGTTTGTCATAATTTGGACAGTTGGTTGCACATTGTTACTAGTCATGATAAGGAAGGAAACTAATAAATGGAGGCAGGATTCAAGGATCTCTTTCTGAAAAGAAAAAAGTAAATATGCAAATGATAGGACAAAATGATAGATCATGGAATCTTCTTTTAGACTTAAAAGCAAACACTAACCTCAAATATTTTACATTGGTATGGATTTTTGTATATTGATACAAATTTAATATTATTTTTATACTCTATATATGTTTCTACACTTCTTTAAAGTATTGTACCTGTACAACTCTTTTTTTTAGTTACTTCTTATGTATTTGTTGGTCAGTGAGGTCCCAAAGACCTCCAAGCGTTATAGTCCATTGCCAATGCTCTTGGTTACCCTTAAGAACTTGGCAGTAAGATCCTATTGCTGAAGACACAACATACTTAAGTTACATAGTTCTATAGAACATAGATGCACTGGTGTTGACCTGGAAGCTTCATTCCTGCGGCTTAGCTTTCTTCCTACTAGAAGGTGTTATGTACGAAACCAGAGGAGAAAAGTCACCATCACTCATACTCAGCAGTGATCTCTGCCAGGTACAATAATGGTTGTATTCACCAAGACATGTTCATTTGTCTGTGCAACTCTTTTAAAACTGTAATGTATAATTGAGAAATACAGATTAGTAATTAGTTGTCTATAACAGTCAAACTTGTAGTCAGGTGAAGTATGATTTCAAGATTACATATATATTTACTAGATCATAAGCTGGTCTTGAAACACTTTAGAGATGGACAGAATATGGCATTTAAGATGTTTTCATAACATAAGGCCTTTCATGTTAGTGAGACACATCTGAACTTGTAAGCACAAATTTACTTCCAAAAAGATTGATGGGCATTATAGAAACAACATATGATGTTGGTTTTTATTGTAGAAAAGTTATCCACTGGACAAGAAAGCCATTGTCTCTACAGATGACAGTATTCTATCCAAATGGACAAGCAGGACACAGAAGAAGGCAGCTGCTGAACAATGACAAGACAAACCTGGTTAACTTAGCTGATAATTTTGGAAAATATAAGTCCTGTACCAGACAACCTCACCTGATCATCCTCTGATGATGATGATGATGTTTGCTGTGCCACAAAAGGCTAGAGGAGCTAAAAGAAATGCCCTGGTACAGAAAGGAAAAATTGTATTGTGGGCATTGATTTGTATACCAATATAATCCAATAAGAATTCATTACAGAAACATGGAAATAGAA